TTACCTATATTTTAATACACGGTGACTCGTTGGTTACAACGATTATACGACGACTCCTTCGGTCATCACATTCGAATAACATACAACCGCGAATTCACGTAAATTGTTGGTGTGCGTTGCTGCGCGTTGTTGTCCTCAAAAACATGACTGAAAAGAATATTATGCTGTCATCGATGTTATTATATTATGGTCAGCTCTACGGAACGACGTAGGATAAAATATAATTTATTAATATTATGCACGCAAGACAGCAGCAGACCGAGACGAATCCGTTTGCGGAGTGTGGTGGACGGGACGGGTCCAGACGTCAAGAATCTAAATCCACAATATAATATTATTATTATATTATGTTTGCTATCGTGTCGCTCGCGCGCGTTTACCAAATTGCGAAAGACAAAAAAAATTACCTAAAAAATTAAAAATTCTTCGCCCGCGTTTACAGTGGATGGTCAAGTGTGTTTCGCGGGCTCAGCGACCGCGTCCGCGAACGTCGTCGCAGAGCCTTATAATGCTAGATAGAGCCTTATAGTGTAGATTTCAGACAAGATAATTATTATTATTTCGTTTTTAACAAGAATTTATTATAAATACATCATTATTATTATTAGGTATACATAATAAAAAAAATTATTATTATTATTATTACTACTTTACTATCTAAAAAATATCGTATAGTATTGGTATGCATGGTATTATGTGAGCGTTTTATTTCGGACGATTCACACTATTCCAGAATCCAGATACATACTCGACTTGCTCAATTTTTTGTGACATGAAAGGTTTCGTCTCGTTCCGGTCGGGACGTTTTCGTGAAAACAAAACAAAACGCCACGAAACACGACGAAATATGAGGTAAACGAAGTTAACACTACAAAGTACCCAGCCGAAAACATTCCAACAAATTCTATACTCGGACATGGTCGACATTGTTAGTAATTTGTTGGAACTTTATTGAAAATTTAACAAAAACCTTATGTATAACATTGAAATGCTTGGTGACAAGACCAAAACACTACAATCGAAATTCGAAACTAAAACTTAAAAACATTTTCCACAATACGAATTTAGTGTTTATTGGGCTTTGTTGGACAGTATTAAAATTTAAAAGCAGGTGAAGCTCCAGAGACAGGGTTAGGGGAGGGGGGCAAGTAATTTCGATGACTTTTTTTTGTTATTTTGTTTTTAACAGTATAAAATTGTTTAGAAATACAGCTTGAGGGGGCGGGCCCTATGACCCCACCCTGGAGCCACCCCAGATTAAAAGCTCTACAATACAAACCAAATGTAGTATTGGAATTTGTCATACACAACATAATATCGTGATTAAATGAAACAAAATAGATATGGACTCCCAAAGTCTCAACGCATTTTTTAAATGATTCAACAAACCTATATCATCTGAGAGTCTATATTATTGAAAATATATTTTCCGATTCTTATCAAATATTAATACCATTCTAATTTTTTTCATAATTTACTTAAAGTATACAAAATGTATTAATTTTGCTATCATATGTTACGAACAATTAATAATATATAATAGTATCATTATAGTAGCAGTTAATATATATTTTAAAACAGTTTGTAGGACGCAAACACTTAAACTCTACGAAAATGTCTGTCATGGTGTGAAGGTTTAGATGTTGTAGATTTGCAGTCATATTTACACAATTTTATGTGATACACAGTACACAACACTGAACAAAGCTTTGGTCGTTACTATAGTAAGTAAAAAAAAAAAAGAACTGTGAAATTGAGTTACTATTCCTTTTTTGTTGAGGTAGTCGATATATCTTACAGTATTATTTATATATATTACAGTATATAAATATATATACCAGGTGATCCACTTAATTTGAGGCACTCATAAATTCAAAAACTATAATAACGTTTTTGAAAATATTATAGATATAAAGTCATTAAAAAAACAATTTTTTTTGGAATATTCAATATTTTTAAATAGGTTTAAACATTTAATTTTTTACTAGTAGCTTACGAGTTATTTAAGTATTTAAGGCACCCGGTGCCAATGTAATTTTGTACACAAAAGTACGTTCTACGGGAATAATGATCCTGATCTGTAGAATCAACCAAATTTGGTAATTTTTTTTTTAACTAATAAGAGGTAATATTCTACAGATCTAATCGAAGTCAGTTTTTCAATATTTTAATCTCAAACTTTATAAGAAGTCTTCAAAAATAATACAATATTAAGCATTTTTTTATAAATTATACTATACCATTATTTGAAATAATATCCAAAATCCAAGAATTCTACAAGGCCTGGGAATTATTCCCGTGAAGTCATTTTTTCCGATATAATGCACCCTATCAACTCCTCCCCCCCTCTAAACAGGTATCGGGAGATTAGTGGAATAGTATTATAATTATGGTGGCAACCAACATAATGAAGAAAATTTGAAAAACTGTCACCGGGCCCCTTAAAGTTTTGATGAAAGGAGTGGTACGATTGAATAGAAGTTCCCTGATAATTAATGTTGGCCCACTACTATCCGTTCATCGAAAACCGTAGGTATATACTAAAAGTATTAATTTACTTAAAATGAAATATTTCTGGAATAATAAATGTCTTACATATGGATCACACCGTATAGTAAAATACAGTCTATAATGTTTACAAAGAGATTGAATTTAACTATTATATAAATAATTAACGTTATCGTATTAAAATAAAGTCATGATAATATCATCTAAGGTCGCTTTTTAACCACAGCGCAACAATAACAACAAAGCCCGTCTGCAGGTGATTTAAACAGCAGCAATAAAATATAAATTCATGCAATAACCATCAGCGCGTTGTATTATTATATACCTAGGTGCATGTATATGTTGTGTCTTGACGATTTTATAATCGCGTTAGATATCGTATTTTATAACAATAATAATATATATCGTTATTATTATTATTATATACATAAGAAATATTATAACCGTGACTTGGCCAAGAGATGCATAAGAAAACCTGTCCTTCTCTAGGTCACTGACCGACTTTGCTCCTAAATCACTGAAGAATGAATAATAAAAAAGTAAACGTGATATCGCTTTTCTTTGAACGTAATATCGTTCTCGTTTGCTCATGTATATTATTATTATATAAAGAAAAAAAAAATATTAATGTTGTAATTTTTTATCATATTAATATTTAATGCCAACTTTTAAGGACAATGAGATAATTACAAATTATATAATATAGACGATTTTTTTTTATGTTTAGAAATATTTGAAAAATAGTCTTAAAAAAATGGGAAGACATAAAATGTAAACGATAAATGGCCCTGAATATCGTGAGAACCAAAGCAGTTTAAACTTATAATAGTAGGGATGCTAAAATTGTCTAAAAATGTAGACAATATTCCGATTATTCCGTGATTCTTGCCATTGAAAAAAAATCATAAGAATTAAGAGGACCTCGTTAATTGCAATCCACACTTCACTCGTCTTTTACCAGGCGTTTGTCGTTTGTCGTTTGGGCATCAATAATCTCCAGATAAAAAATTTGGTTGGTCGGTTGCACGCCTCGGGTTTTAACAATTTAAATGTGTGGTGACTGGTGAGTATTAGTTTTAGTATAAGGTGATATGAACGCGCAATGCCCATGATATACCAAGAACATAATTATAATACATAATATATATTGGCTATATCTCAGGTTAATAATATTTATAATTTGGTTATATTGTTGTGAGTATGTAAATGACAGATTAACGAATCTAATCAAATTTAGATTCATTCTGATATAAAAATTTTCATTTATTTTAATAGCTTTAATTTGTTTAAAATAATACGGTGAATAGTTATGCTCAAACGGCCTATACAAATTATCATTTTTAACGATTTATTGGGGTCCTCTGACCATTTTACGTTTGGAATGATAAAAATATGAATATTGTAATAACTAATAATTCAAATATACAATATTACATTTAATAATTATTTACGAATACATTTATAGTAAAACTAAGTTAATCACTTGTTTAACTTTAGATTATAAAAAACAATAAAACATTTTTTTTATAATTTTTGGAATATTTTATGATTTTCTATCTTTATTACGATAGTCTATAATATTATCTTGACGAGCATCGTGTAAGTTTGATTAGTGTTATAGTGTATCACTGTCTCTAGTGATCCGTCAATAACTTTTTGTTTTTATACTTAATATTTTTAAATATAATAAAAAATAATCACTTTACTATAGAATCGCTATTGTGAGCCTTATTGTTCTAATTCCGGTACATCATATTATCTGCAGACACTATGGTTACCATATGGAAAATAACTAAAACCCGATGTATAATATATTTTTATATTTAATACACTGTACAAAAAATTCCAGATAAAGGATTTTTTGAGTGACTCACAATTATATACCACTGTAGACACTACCTATACATAATAATATATACCTATTATATGTGTCTTACATTATTATGTATAATATATTCAATAGTAGTTGTATTTTACGGATAACTTGAAATACGTATCATCCTAATAATATTATAATATATTATTATGTATTTAATATTATGTTTAATGTAATATTATAATGTTTTTATTATTATGCGCACTTCGGATGGCTTATTTCAATTTCTGGTATCTACATATTATTATAATATTATGTGTGTAGGTACCTATAAACACTGCAGCAGATGTCCGTCGGATCGATGTGGGAACAAATAACGAAATAACATGCGTTACGAACAAATGAGTCGTAACTGGATCGCGTCCCGAGAAAGTAGACTTGACCGGGTGCCGTCGAGCAAAGCACACACCCGTAGTATACTGTGGGGAGGGGAGGGCCCCAAACGCGGCCCCCCCACCCTCACGGTCCAGCCGGCAAGTACAAAACGGACGGACCTGAGTCGTTAGCAGTCAGTGTTGGACCGAGCCGGAGACGGAGCGAGCAGCACACGACAATATTATAACATCACTCGAGTATAAATATAGAATTTAGTATACAGAGCGTGCTCGGCATCACGATGAGAGGTCTCCTGTATACAGTGTGCGCGTTTGGGCTGTGCGCTTACGCTCTGGGCAAGGACGAAGCCGTCGTTAACAAGGACGCACCGGTGGACGGTGACAAGAAGTCGTCCGCGGACAAGACCCAGGACAAGAGGAGCCTGTACGACACCGGCTACGGTTACGGTTCCGGTTCGAGTTATGGATACGATGTAGGCGTCGGCGGTGGCGATTACCACGGTCACGGCCACGTGCTGTCCAAGACCATCATCAAGGAGGTGGCGCACCCATACCCCGTGCCCGTCGAGAAGCACGTGCCGTACCCCGTTAAGGTGGCCGTACCAGTGGATCGCCCGTACCCGGTGCACGTACCCAAACCTTACCCTGTGCACGTCGAGAAACCCGTGCCATACCCCGTCAAAGTGTCCGTGCCGCAGCCATACCCAGTGATCAAGGAGATCCCAGTACCAGTCAAGGTGCCTGTCGACCGTCCGTACCCAGTGCACGTGCCCAAACCATACCCAGTGTACGTCGAGAAGCACGTCCCATACCCAGTCGAGAAACACGTGCCGTACCCAGTCAAAGTGCCAGTCGACCGCCCTTACCCCGTGCACGTGCCCGTCGAGAAGCACGTCCCTTACCCCGTCGAGAAGCATGTGCCCTACCCGGTCAAGGTGCCCGTCGACCGCCCCTACCCGGTCACAGTCGAGAAGCACATACCGTATCCAGTCGAGAAGCCCGTTCCATACCCGGTCGAGAAGCTCGTCGCCTATCCGGTCAAAGTTCCTGTGAAAGTCGAAGTCCCAGTACCGTACCCGGTCAAGAGCCACGACCACCACTACAGTCATCACGATGACTACCACCACAGCAGCTACTAACTAAATGGACACGGCATTAACACGCATTTATCGCATCGAAAGGGTTTTCCGTAACCGCAAAATGGTTACCACTAATTTGTTAAGTACTTTTTTAATTTTTTTTTTGTTTTTTTTTTTACTTTGTAAATATTAATTTTATGATATAAAATTTATACTTCCTATACTACTATCTTTAAACGAAATTAATTTTAATTATATAACGGAATTAAAAACATTTTCTCTCGACTTTGACTGTTACCGACTAAGATCTTTTTTTACGACCTTAAATTAACTTTTATTTTTGTATATATTAAACTTTTACCTCCCCAACCCTCTCTCCAACTATATCATAATCAACTATTTTCCTCTTTGGCAACAAAAAAAAGCTCTAGAAAGGAAACTGTCGAGGGACGATATTATTTGGGATGATGTATAATGCAGTATGAATAAAGTTTATTTTTCTTTGACATTTTGTTTTGTTCTTTTCTAGACAATATTTATAAACACGATTTAAAAAATAATAAACAAATAAAAACAGACGACCAACAGTTTGGAAAAGTTTTAGCGATTTCGATCGAGGATAATATGCTTTACCATGCTCGACTTCAGACGGTTGATAATATAATATGTTTTTATTACTATTACTATGCGCAGAATATCGTACTCACATATAGGTACAATGTTAACAATATTATTACAATATTATTGTTTTATTATCGCTGCTAACGTCCAATTCGAGCGCGCCGCAAATCACAGCCCAGTGGTAGTTATATATTAACGATGATGATAATATTATTATTATTATTGTGTCTGTCGTTATACATTTTATAATTGTTCGTAATAATCGTTTCGGACTGGCTATATAATATTATATCAGTGTGCCACACAACCCTACACAAATCACAATATTATAATAGGTATATTATTGTAAATTATTATTGCTGTAATATTGTATCGGTCATCGCAAACGATTTGATTTCCCGGGTAAACTGTTTTTGCGTGCGTGAGTGTGCGGATCATTTATATGCCCTAAACCTCGCCGACTGCGCTGCAGTGTCGAAACCGTAATCGTCATTGCGCAAAGCCCCCGTGGTGGAAAATCCGATTGTTGCGATATGATGATGATATTCACACATTTGCAATAGGTAGGTAATAATTGAAATCGTGTGAAGCACGCGCGTCCCAAGTGTGCGGCCACCCCTGCAAACGTGATGTTTATGACATTATGATATGCCCTACACGTTCCGATTTAAAACGAGATAACAATAATACTATTTTGTCCGTTCTCTGATTGTAATTTTTTTCGACCGAAAAATGGAGCGACAGTAATAATAATGCTCACTATTATGATACGGACATAATAATATAGTATAGGGCGTTATTATAAATCGGTGTTGCGTTTAATTTTCACAATGTCTTTATAATATTCACCGACGTCTTGTATGCGAGACGTAAAAAGTCATGTTGTGAGTAGGTAGAGTTTTTTTTCTTTTTTCAACTACATATTTATCACCTGCAGTGTTGACCCATTTGACCACGTCAGACTATATGTAAAATCATTATCGAAACTCATCCAAGTTGATAAAAGAAAAATCGAAAATCGTCTGATGGGTGAATTCGTAGATTGTCGATTTCTATTTCAACAAATCGCCGACATATAGATCGTTTCGAGTGTGGAGGACGACGACTGCAGACGTAAATAATAATAATAATATGAAGAACGTTCGAACTGTTTGCACTCCCGCACACAACTGAAAACGTATCAAAAATCTTCAAAAATAAATTATAAAACATAATACAGTCGATCGTGGATGGCAAGACGTCAAGACGTATATAGGTTATGTTTTATATTCTTAATATTATGTCACTGGACGACGCCGCTCAACGATCGATCCAGGAAGACAATAATATAATAATTATTATTATTGGCGAGAGTCACATAAGGTTTGTGCGGTGTTTGCCACGGCCTCGGGCGGGTTCGGGTTTTAGATATTTTTATTCTCGCCGACGAGATTGCGTAGCTCGCGCGCTCGTGCTAACGTCATTTACATAACACAATCGGGTTTATTGTGATATTATTATTATTATGTTGTAGCCGCGGTATTATATCGCAGACCGGACCGGGACCAGGTCGAGTCGTGTTTTTACGGTGCTTCGTGTGTGTATCGTAACATGCGTACCTATACGTCATGTTTGGCTGAGATGGGTGTCGGGGACCTGATCTATTATGAGGACTACGTTGTGCTGGTTTGATTCGAGTCCAGTTGAAGGTTGGGGGGTCGTCATGGGGCCACGGACCCCGGATCACAAGACTTGAGATTTTTTTAGGTGCATCTTATTTTTCACCGTATACATTTATAATTTTGTATCTATTATAATTACCTAACTAAATATATTGTGCGTAAAATAAAATACATTTATTCCGATGGTAAAAGATTTATTTTAAGACAAAACTTAAATTCTGAAAACAAAACACTTGACAGGCGTCTTATAATACCTTTAGACGATATGATACGAAAATTCGATTCAGAAAAAGATAGAAAACAATTTTTAATTGAATAAACTTATATGAGTATTATATGTATTTAAATACAATTCGTTTTCTTATTTCATATTAGGGTCTCTGAAATATGAATACGAGCTTGGACTTATATTGGTCATTTCTTCACGATTAATCCGGATGTTTTCTCCTCATAAACTTGTAACAGAATACAGAATATACAGTAAGAAATATTAGTGTAGATATAGTTACTATACTATATTATGTTTGAAAGTATGTACGGACGGCTATGTCAAAGTAATTCATTTACGATAAAATACGCCCAAAACATCGTAATGACCGTTCGTGTGCCGTTTACGGATTTTGTGGAGACGTATAATACATAATGATAATATATTAATATTATGATATCCGCGGGCAATCGGAGCGGCTCGATTATTATTATTATTACTTATTAGGGTCAAGACGTGAGTTTTTGCGTGCAACGCACCGCGAAGTTGCGCAATGGTCCATCCGGATTTTTTTTTTACTGGCGACCAAAGACATACCGGCAATTATAATTATACCGGCACAATATATAATAAAGGTAGAGCGTTATTTGCTCTGACAGATGACGGAAATTCAAAATTTTTAATTCGTGTTTACCTAATATACAGGTAATACTTGTAGCTCATCCAAAACTATATTAACATAAAATGTGTGCCGAGCGCAATATTACAACTGCAGCAGTGTAGCGTAATATCAGATGACTCGGACGGAAAAGTATTAGTTCAACTATATATAATAATACTGTAAACGATGCTGACATCCGACCAATTACAAAAATAAAATCAAAAAATCCCAATTAACGGGATTATAACCCATCGTACCAGCTCTATGACTACAATGCAATGGTTTTATTGATTGTATCTCTCGTGAGTGTAATAGGCTAAACGATTTCGATTTGTTTGATTTAAACCACCGGTAGACTGCTTTTCAAACTCTTAACACACATTAAACATTTCAATTCATGTTATGATCTGTTTTGATTTTACTTACATTTACATAATATGTACTTTATAAACCTTATCAACACCTGTCTTATACTTTTATATATAGGTAGTTAATTTATTGGTATTCACTATGTCATTTTATATTGTATCATATTATTTATTTATTATGTTATTGCTGACATTTTAAATATATTACAGTAGGTTCTTGAGCTCTCCGGGCGTTTGCTTAGTAAACAAATATATTATAGGTATAAGGTATGAGAGTACGACGATTAACAGCGTCCGCAGAATAAACAATTCCACACTAGGAGAAAGATGCAATGGATAAATTTTATTTTTGGGACAAGACCGAGGGCAGCAACAAGTCATCTCGATATTTTGATCAAAATTAGTTTTTGATTGCACATTGTCAAGAAAAAAACTGCGTCGTTTGGTACAACAACCAGACAAATCAAACTGTTAAATACAGAGATATCATACAAATGAAGATGTCTAGTTTTTATTTTAGTGCAACAATAAGACATCTCCAAATTGTATAATATTATAAATGGAGATGTCTTGTTGTTGCAATAAAGTGATTTATTATTTTAGAGTACCTATGTATTTTTAGTGCAACAATACAAGACATCTCATATTTTTTTTTTAGTTTTGAGATCATACAAATTGTTTTTTAACAACATTTCACTGGCTGTTCCATATACGAATTAAAGTTGGATCAAAATATATTTTTTGTTAAGGGGCCTGCGTGAGACCTGTTTTTTTGCTCAAAAACATGCCTTACAGGAAAAACTCTCACCAGGGTCATTGGACTTGGATTTTCAAAATTATTTTTCTAAATCTTATATTACAAGTTTGAATTTAATCCATGTTTACAACTTTTTAGTTTTTGTATTATTATTAGTTTTTAGCAACGTAATCAAAAATCGAAGTCCAATGCGCCCTGTAAAAAATATTCCACTATCTAACAAAAACATAATTACGGAAATCGGATCAATCTACGAGATGTAAGAGTTTTTCCTGTAAAGTGTGTTTTGATCGATATAATACACCCTATAAACCCCCCTAAATATATATCGGGTAGTAGATTAGTGGAAAAGTATTATAATTGAGGTGGAAACTAAAATATAAAATTTAATTTTCAAATTTTATAGAATTGAGGAAAATTTGAAAAATTGCAACCCTTCTCTATTATTTAATTTTTTTAATGTTTATAAGAGCCTCATGAAAAATTGTATTAATTGGAGATGTCTTTTTGATTCCCTCAGTCTTCATTTATTAAGTATTATTTAATAATTAATATTTCATTATTATTTTTTTGTGTACTATTATAATTTATAAGTATCTCCATATTTGTATAATATATCATATTACTACCGTTGTTAACTCTTTTTTTCTGTTCCAGAAATATTTCATAAGCTCTAATAATATGGTATGCTACTAAGTAACGTACAATTAAAAACATCCCTAGGGGGGTCAATGCTCCCCTCCCTAGCAGTGACCTTGGTGACGAATTTTTTTTTGTCCATACG